CACCCCAACTCCCCAATTGGCCCTGCTCTGAGCCCGACCAGGGGCTGCACCTAGGGATTGGGCCTGCCCTCTGCCACCCGGGAGCAGTCTTAAGCCAGCAGGTCGTTATCTCCTGAGGGGTCCCAGACTGCGAGAGGGCACAGGCCAGGTTGAGGGACCCCCCTTCCCCCTGAGTGCACAAATTTTTGTGCACTGGGCCTCTAGTATATATATAAAAGTCTAAGTGTCAGCGTCTGTCCAACCAGTAGCTATGATGCACACTGACCACCAGGGGGCAAACACTCAACGCAGGAGATGCCATGATGTGTACTGGCTATTTAAAAATAAATGGCACCACAGACCTGGCACCAATAAACCAACACTCAGCTTCCCCCAAGTGGGACACAGGCCCCACTATCACCCCAGAGTGACACCCCAACAAATCACAGCCAGCACTGCCGAGACCCCATGGTACAAAATGGAGCCACAGCCCAGCCCGGAAACAGTGGCTGTGGGCACCGGGTACTGACATCACGTAGCAACGCCTGGCTTCCTCCCCCTAGGGACTAGCATCCTTGGAGTTTCTTCAGCCCAGGAACTCCACTGGCTTTATAGCCGGGTGCAAACATTTTACACTTTAACCAAATATTTATGAAGTGTTTTCCCATGCCTCATCTCATTTGATCCTCACAGAAGTCCTGGAGTAGGTAGATAGGAGACTCGGTAGAATCCAATTTTCTTTCCATTAGCAAGATGCAAACACCGATATTAAAATATTTTTTCTAATTAATTTCCTTTCAATGTGCACAGATCCATGCACTGGGACACTAGTATAACTATAATTTTTCTTCAAAATATTTTCAACAAAATGGCAAGTTTTAACAAAATAATTTAAAATTAGCACTGCCACCAAATACATGGTAAAAATGATGAATTCTGTAATCCCATTTTTAACTCACATTTGGTTAAAATGCACATTTTTTACTTATCATGTGAACCACTGTACTAAATTGACTTAAAATCTTCCTCAGAAGTTTGGTGTGGGTTTGATTTTTTAAAGTAGGGTATCCTGTTAAATGACACCTGCCTCACTGCCGCACACTTAACACTGACCAGATATAGGAATGACAGCAGGAAAGACAGAAACATGAATCTCATTTCTCTGCAGACCTTGACATCTGTTAATAATCTAACAATATTTTGAGGGAAGAAAAGGAAGGGTGCAGGAAAGTTTAAATACAACAGTTTTAGTTTAGTATAACTCATTTTCAACAAAAGTGTAACTACTGATTTTAAAAAGAAGAGTTTCAAAGTCCCCACTTAAAACCAACCACAGCCCTAACCGGTTTGGCTCAGCTGATAGAGCATCAGCCTGCGGACTGAAGGGTCCCAGGTTCAATTCCGGTCAAGGGCATGTACCTGGGTTGCAGGCACATTCCCAGTAGGGGGCATGCAGGAGGCAGCTGAATCGATGTTTCTCTCTCATCGATGTTTCTAACTCTGTATCCCTCTCCCTTCCTCTCTATAAAACAAAAACAAAAAATCTATAAAATATTTTTTTTTTAAAAAAAAACAACCATAGCAGAGACTATTAAAGGCCACAAATGTTTTTAATAAAATGTTTGCCAAAATCAACAAACATCCCTAGAGGAAGACCTCACATACACACTGTCAGCTCTGCCTTTATTTTAGCTACACTTATGTCAATGGCACCATCTGACATTCAAGCCAAAGAGTGTGAACTAACAAACATGGGCAGTACTGGGGCTGCCATACACTTTTTGGGGGGTATATTTCAGTGGTTCTTATTCACCAGCTAGGAAATCAGTGAAGGATTTTGACCTTGAACATGAATGCCTTTGACCTCTATGCACAGGATGCTAAGGGACACTTTTGGTCGGGTCTCACCAAGACAATGGATGCTAGTACTTCTTATGAATTGTGAATCAACTGCATGATTACTTGAGGCAGAAAAGAGGAAGGAGAAAAGGGCCATGTGTGCCCAGCAAAAAGTAGCATAATAAGAGACTACTGACATGAAATGCTCAGCTCATAATGGTCAATTTCCTTTACCAAAGGCCATTAATCTGATTGTACTTCCATACAGTCCACTCTTTAAAAAGACAGTATAGTTAGTATGAAGTGTGTGGACACACAAAGTGCCATCTGAGTGGGACATCAGTGGTTCAGCATATTGTCCATAAAGAGAGATTTTCATCAAAACAATGTAACCCAAATCTTTCAGTCTCTCATGATTATACAGGGGTTTATTCATATGCTTGAAAAGAGTAAAAGGCAAAGTAAAGCAAAAGACAGAATTCAGAAGGGCAACTAAAAATTTCAACTCTGCACTTTCTACATTATTAAAGAGAGACACCAGTATTTTTAGAAGAAAAGCATTTACTAGCTTATTTCTAGAAGGGAAATCTGATGACCAATCCTACTATGGTAGGATTTCAAAGTGCTCTGGTAAACAAAGGTGATTTTTTGCAATGCTGCCCTAAATGAGACCTATAACAATTTAAAACAGTTTTAGTTACATAACTAAAAGTGCTATCATCTATATTTATAAAACCTTAATATGCATAGTGTCCCCTCAGGAGTTCCACTGGGAGACCAGGAGTTCGATCGCTCGCTATGACATGCGCTGACCACAGTGGGTGGCACTGGCCAGCAGCCAGAAGGCCCCAATCGGCTCTGATCACCAGCCAGGCCTAGGGAACCAACCCATGCACGAATTTCGTGCACTGGGTCTCTAGTCTAAAATAATTAAGAATATTAGAGGCCCAGTGCACGAAATCCATGCACTGGTAGGGTCCCTAGCGGCTGCCAGATGCCAGCCAGGACCTCGCTCCCTTCCCCTGGCCTGTCCTAGCCCCTGGTTGAACTCCCGGCCAACGAGACAATTTGCATCTATGCTTTTATTATATAGGATACTACCTACCCAGTTAGTAACTTTGGAAACCAGATCCTTTGGTTATTAATAAAATTAATTAATGGAGCATTAAATCAATATCTTATCCTATAATAAAGTTTATTAAGCAGAGATAATATTACATATCAAATGTTAAA